AGACCCCCCCCCCGGGGCCCCCCCGGGGGGTTTTCCCCTTTTGCCCCTTGGGGTTTCCGGGCCCTTTAAAAAAAAGGGCTTTGGGTTGTGAAAATTTTGGGGGAGGGGCCCCCCTTTTTCCCTTTTCCCTTTTCCCTTTTCGGTTTTTGGGTTTTTGGGCCCCCCCCCTTTTTTGTTTGGGCCCCCCCCCCCCCCCCCCGACTCCAATGAATCCGCTGCCCTCCGCATCAAAGGCTTTCTGATGGTGCCGCGAGCGCGCGAGTCCGGCGGGGGCTGCGTCATCACCATGATCGTCCACACAGACCTCGGCGGCAACCTCCCGGCGACCATCCTCAACAGGCTCTCCACCAGCAGCCCGTGGCGTCTTGTACAGCGCCTACGCTCGGCGTTCGAGAGCAGCGATTGCCAGCCGTCGCGGGCGCAGAAGGCGGAGCAAGCAGCAGCAGCGGCGGCGGCGGCGGCGGCGGCGGTTGCCGCTGATGGCGAGGCTTCGTGACGTAGGAGACTTGGTGGAATCGGATACAGTAGAGCCCCGGTTCTTGCGCAACACGTAGGGGGGGGAATTGCTTTTGACAGAAAAAGTTGGTTTCATTTGTGTGGTAATTGTTGGGTGAGGTTTTCGTGTGCCCTTGAGGGTGGTAAGGGTGGGGGGGATTCCGAGGAGCAAAGCCCACGCGTACTACATTGCGTCCAGCATGGAGGACACGCTTTCTTCTTTATTCATCGCTGACCAACATTGTGGTAGTGGTGGTTGGCGGCAGGGAGGCATCGGTCGTTGATTATGTCGTCGTCGTCGGTGTTTTTGTCTTGACATTGAAAAACCGTTCAGGCCTCTGCTCAGAAGTCCCTTCTGACATTCGCACCGGTTCAGCTGGCGCGAACGCCATACTTGGACCAAAGACCAACTACCCGAAAAAGGTACACCATTTTTTTTCCAACGGAAACATCAGGGGACCGTTGGTGGGAGTGGATTTCTTTCAGGAGAAGGCGCGATGGGGGTGTCGGCGACTGCCGTGGAAGTCAGCTAATGTCCTGCTGGCCTCGCGTGTGTTCGTTGTGGTGACGAGTGACTTCGATTTTTTTAAACGGGCTCGTCTTGTGTCCGGTTGCGGACGGATCTGGAGGCCTTGGCCGCTGGTTGTAAGTAATGGTAGAGGCAGCGGTTTCACTTGTCGGTTTTGGCAAAATGTTTGTGTGTGGGTGATGGTTTGTTTGCACACCACGGCAGATTTTTTAGCTGCGCGTGCAATTTGTATTGGTGGGTGCTGTTTAAGACGGGCATCTGCACTCGTCTGCGACTTACATGCGTCCAGAAAGGGTTGCCTCTTTTTTTTTTTTGTGGTTGCCCGAGGTGCTGGGGCAAGGAGAGGAGGAAGGGAGGCGACGGGGGGGGGGCGAGGCAAGGCGCTTCATCAATCAATGTTCATCATTCTCGTTTTTGTTTTTCACTTTTATTCGTGTGTGGCGTGCGTCATGGGCGGTGGTACGCGCGAGGAGCGCACGTTTGCGGTGGCCCCCAACATGGAACAACACGTTTTTGTTAATGTCGGATTTAATTTGCAGCCCTGCAACCGAGAGACTATGCTGATCGCGTGCAAGCACCGCACCCTCTTTTTAGCGTGGGCGTCAAGATTCCCACCGAAAGGATAACCCAGGTCGGAACTGGCATTTGATTTCGCCCAGCTGTAAATGTTTAGCTTGGGCGCGCTCGTCGTATTTGTGTTTAGAGGAGGAGGAGGGAAGGTATACTTTTTTGCGGGCATTTTTTTTTCGTGGCTAATATTTTTTTTGCAGGAATCCTGGCGTTATATATTATTGTCTCGCGGTTCTTGCCAGTTCTTTTGGGGGGGGGGGTCGGTTCGGGCATTCGTTTTATTTTTGTATCGCATTCGCTAATGTTATTCTTTGTGTACTCTATAGTTCTACTACTACATACAAGGCTTCGACTTGCAACGCTCAACGAAAAAAATAGCCCACTCATTTGTTGGTGCGCGTGTGGTACTAATATTTGGATATTTACGCGTTGTTTGTTTCTCGACGCTGTAGTTCATGAATCATACCGCACTCGCTGCTGCCATGCATACTGCTGTCTGTACTGTGTCTTTTCGGAAGCAAAAGGGGTTTCCCCCCCGAAAAAATACAGCCCTAGTTCGTTGCCTTGGTGGTGTGTTCGCGAGCATCGCTCTGGTGTCTAGTTTGCCTGACAGGAGCACGCTCCCGCGCACGCACGGGCTCCTGCTAAATTTCGCGTCTCATATGTAGTACTTCGAAGTGACTTTCTTTGCGATATGTGTTAAGGAATAATATACGATATGTATGTAGGTGTACAGACCTCCTCTGCTCGGCGTCTTTGATCTCGCTGATCTTGTACGAGATGCACGTGATTTCTGGGGCCCATTTTTATTTTTTTATTTTTTAGAAAGGCTTGTAATCATGGAAGGCGTCCGAGTCAGTTGGACCAGTACGGGCATTTGAAGGTGCTGAGTGAGAGACCGGAACGGTTTTAATGTGAGGACAAAACAATCACGCAATGTGCACACAACCCCCCCACCCCCAAGCCGATGACAATTTGTTTTTGGGTTGTAGGGTGGTTAAGGCAAGTTGCGTGCCCCCCTCCTTTTTGACAGAATCTATTAAGAATTGCTGCGATCGGTCCGATCTGCCCGCCCGTTGTCGGTCAACCGCTGTGATTGCGCGATTGCCCATTCGAGCTTGTGTCAAACTCAGCAGCCGGAGGTCGAACTCCCCCACACACACGTAGAAGACGAGGGATACTTCGCAGCAGGGAACCCAGCCGGACCGTTTTCCACGCTGAAATTCGGAGCGACTCGGAGCAAAGCGGAACTCTCCGAGGGATACATATCAGAGAGAGACACCGCTCGCTGCTTGCTGCCGCCAAGATGTCGAACAATGTTGACCCAGCGTTTGTGGGAGTGGGGAAGGTGCCCGGGCTCACCCTCTGGCGCATCGAAAAGAAGCTCGTGGTCAAGCAGCCTGCGGTGAGTGAGTGGCATTGCGAGCTAGGGCATGTGTGTGTCCGCTGCTGATGACAAAAAGCAGAGAGGTAATGCACGGACGGGCGGCCCAGCTTTGAGGCGCAGCCATCCCTTTGGCTCATCATGTGGAACGTTTCGCTCTCTCTCTTTCTCACGAGCAGCAAAGCACTCTTGGCTGCTGTGTGCTTTCTTGCCACCCGCAGACAAAGCATTGGCTGTGTCGTTCATGCCCGCCGCGATCCGTCGTAGCGGGTGGAGCTAAATATTGCAAGAAGGACCACAAGTTTTAGCCGGTGGAACACGCTGCTGTAGCTGGTTATTCTACATCAACCACAGATGATGTGCGGACGCCGCCCCGTTCGCATCGATCAAAAGTTATTTTGCACTCTCACGCTCTCCCAAATGGAACCAATAAGGAGGGCGAGCTGCTCCCGAAGAAACCGCCCGATGTTTTCGCAAGCGCAGTGGACTACCTGCTTCTCCTAATCCGCGTGCTGCTGTGCACCACACCACCCCACTCCTTTTCTCCAGAGCCTCCTTGCCTTGATGCCTTGGTTTTTTTCTTTTTTGCGTACGAGAACACATCATGCGCACAAATGCACAAACCAACAGGCTTTTGGTTCGCCTGCTCGCGCGCACTTTGCCCCAAAGGGTGATATGATAAGACCGAACCCATTGTTTCAGTCAAGCCTTTACTGCCGGCCCTTCCTCCAGAAATGCGTGCGTCTATATTGTAGATGTCACGCAGAATTTTGACGTGGGAATTCGAATTTTCCCGGGCTTCATGTACAAGTGCGCATCAGGCACAACATCATCGATCAACATCGATAAAGAGTAGCCCCGAAAAATATACTATTTTCTACTAAAAAGCCACACGACGGTTCGCGACGATCATCCTGCGTTGTATCGAGCATCGTTGTGTGGTGGCTGTGGTTGCCACAGCAGTAGTTGCGGTAAAACGAGGAAGGGAGGCACACTCGAAACCGGTATCTATCTAGCATCTGCTTGCTATTCATCACGGAAGGATGTCAATTTGGCCGAAAATCGGAACAAAATACGTACAAAAAGCGTTATCATACCACACATGCATGCATGCAAGCACGTCCAGACAATTTACCACATTTGCACTTGGAGGAGTTCAAGCAGAGGGGCTTCATGGCGGCAAGCCATTGTATGAATCCCTGGCGGATACATGCATACAGCACCTGCGCTATTAGATATCATCGACGGCAGCGTACCTTGCTCGCGGGTGGTTGCCCTGCGAGAATGTTCTGCGCCTGTGGGATAGAGGCCCTTTTTTTTTTTTTGTTCGCAGCAAAACAGCAGCACGTACGGTTCTGATCGAGAGTATCGCCCCCCCGCACCATGTGCAAATGCGTAATTCATAACTTTAGTGAAGCCTGAGTTTCTTGAGGGCAGACGCGAAGGGGGGGCATTTGCTAACCAGTCGTGTTCTAGTGGGGAATGCTGTGCTGACGCCCCAGCACTCGTGTTGTTAACTTGGAAAACTCAGCCAGCCTCCCTCTTCTATCCATATGCGTGCATACATTGGTTGACGCGTTGACACCAATGTACAACCAGTTCGTGGTGCATGCGGTATGCATACAGCAGGCACACTTGCTGCAGATCGTGACGCTGTAGCACGTGCACACATGACATGTATACAGCACAGCGGAGGCAGGAGGCGATTACCGTAAGAGTCGGAGAGATGGCACCCCCGTGTTAGCGTTTTTTTGTAGCGTATTTCTCCACAACTGTCAAGGGTGCGAACACCAACCGATACCTCTCAGGAAAGCCCTCGACGAGATGTTTCCAAGACTACCCTTTTCGGCAGTGGTACCCCCCTGGCTGTGGAGAAATACGCTATACAAAACGCTAACACGGGGGTGTCATCTCTCCGACTCTTGCGGAACTAGCGTAGGACATCGGATGGTCGCAAAAAGTAGTCACGAGGTTCACTTCATTGGAATAATTCAAACGTAAGATGCGAACATGCGAATGTACCTGAGAATGTCCAGCTCGTCCTATGCATACGTTCGAGAAACGAGAAAGGATTGATGTGGGTATTGTGTTGAAATTTGTATCATGCCCCCCCGTGATTCCGTTTTCGGCTTCGAGCCTCTACATGTTTCTGCATAAAATGCAGCAGTTGAGTATCGTATGCATAGATTGCGAGTCATCGCACGGTCGGGACTTGCTGGGAAAAATAAGTACACATACGGAAAGATATATCCCACAGCAGTTATCCGCGTCATCGCACCCCAGTGCGATCATAATTTAGCCGGTACCTCAATTATTTAGTTCGATTCCCGCACAGCAGGCCGTCATCGCTCAGCAGTGATTGATGCCTGGCAACCCAGGACAGTTGAGTGCCAACGATTCGGTGGGGACTTTGGAACCCCTGTGGCCATGCCGGTGCTGGCATTGTGGCAGCGTTGCTGCAGGCACGTCGCAAACCACATGTGGAGGTATGAATGAAGTAGATGAAAAACAACGCAAGAACTCAAAAGAGATAGTTTCACTGAATGGGTAAACAATGTTCGCTCGACCAATGCTGCAAGCCAAGACAAGACAACCTAGCCTCCGACATGATTGCCAAGTGACTGCTGCTGGTGCGTGTGTCGCGTCATCGGCGGGAAATATCTACAGTATTTTGTTTTCACGCTGAGGGCGGGGTTTGTTGTTTCGCCGCGGTTTATTTCGCCGCTTTTTTGGTTTTGTGTACTCCGTATTGTGTATCTGGGTGTATTCTGAATAGGTAGCATCCGCCGCGAGTGGTGTGTGCGTGTGTGTTTTTATTATTAGCATCGACCGCGCTAACCGGCTGACCAATGAAAAGACGTTAGTGCCAGCGGGTAAATTCAAGGTCCCTGGAAGGGAGCCAAAATTCGAAAAGTGCGCAATGCGCTAAATGCGAATCCAATACGTCTCTCCCTACGCATTCTTTCACAAAGACACACATCTCAGCTACGCAAATGCCCTCGCTCGAACCTAGGAAGCCACTGATGCAAAGGGCGGAGGACAGCAAAAGGGTTAGTTCAAGCCCAGCCAGGATATCGTGGTATGCCGCATCTCTCAATTTGATATTCGTATATTCCCAAGACCCAACAGTCATCGTGTCAGCAGCTAGATGACTCAAACGAAATAGCAATACATACATGCCATGGCTCCACACATGCCCTCGCCCGAACCTAGGAAGCCACTGATGCAAAGAGCGTTGGACAGCAAAAGGGTTATTTCAAGCCCAGCCGAAACCAGGATATCGTGGTATGCTGCATCTCCCAATTTGATAACCGTACACTCCCCAGATCCAACAGTCATCGTGTCAGCAGCTAGATGACTCAAACAAAATAGCAACACATACACCTGCCGTGTGTGTGTGTATGTTGAGTGTGGATCGTGCAACCGCAGCAGCACAACTGAGGTATCCGTACGTCCGCGAAGGTTTATTCGAATACTGCACAACCGGAGTCACAGCACAGGG